CCCCAAAACCCCAAAACCCCAAAACCCCAAAACCCCACTTCAGATTGCTGAAATTGAAATTAACGTAATCCTTTGTGTAATAGCTGGTTGTACCTTCTTTCACGGTATATCATCCTGTTGAGGTTGCCGTTCTTGAATTTATCATGGTGGTATTCCTTCGCTATAAAGTGTAACTGGCTCAAAAACTCACCGACGTCAGTCATCTCTTGCTTGGTCTGACTCTGAACCATCCGTATGTATTTATAGACTGGAATTAAGATATCCGTTTTGGTTGATTCTATCCACTTTTATCAGGTGAACTTACTCAGGTTGTCAACCATGTTGAAAGTGTCGTCGAAATGTGCATTCTTCTCTCCTATACCATAGACTGAGCCCTTACGCTGAGATGACAGGAACTTCTGATACTTCTGGGAAGGCCTGTTGGAGTAACGCGCAGAGCTGCCTAATCTCAGATAGAAATATTTCGGATTTCTCTCAACAACTCCTCTTGCCTGTTCCTGATAGTCTGGAAGTCCTTCATCTGTGGTTTAGGGGTCTTGGAAAGCTTAGAGATCTTTGAAAGATTTATCCTGCTGCCTGAAGTATCTTCATTCGTGAGGTTTATCAAATGTTTGCTCCTAGACCTATCCTTCTGGAGCTATACATCAGGTTGGGAGCCTACCTTCCTTTTCTTGTTCTTCAGTAAGGAAGAGAACTGCTCTAGTTTTCTTTTACTCAGAGGGATAAACTTAGGAAGCTTGGCTTGTCCTTTCTCCTTCCTTCTGCCAATAGAATTTGATGAAGATTGGTTGCTGAACCTAACTCTTGATGACGAAATCTTTAATGTATAAGAGCTAGGATTCATGTTTAAATCCACTGTCCTCTCAGTATTTTGGTACCTAGAAGTCACAACAAAGGATGGCTTACTCAGTATGAGGCTGAGGAACAACCCTAGGGGTAGTCTTTATTGGTTTAACCTTATTCAACTTAGATCTCTTCAACTTGACTGCATCCCTGATTATCCTATGTGTTAGAAAAGAAGGTTACTCTTCAAGCTCACTTACTGCCTGTGGCTTGTTTCTTTGCCTATAGATCATACAGAAAGCGTACGAATTAGTAGAGATAAATGCTGACTCCTTCTGTGTAGGAATCTTGGGCTGCTGCTTAGTAGCATTTTCATAAGCAATGTGAAACTCCTTTAAGTAGGTAGCTACCTTCTTATTTAGTTTTTATTTCAAGCGGGCTTAGCTTTAAGTTTGTCTATAATTTAAGCAATGATCTTACCTTCTTGTACTCGTTGAAGCTGATCGTCTGGTTTGTTTTAAATTTATTCGTCATTGATGACTTTGAGCGAGCCTTCTCTATTGTGTCAGTTGAGCTAGACGATTCTAACTCCGCCTCCTCCTCAGTAGGCATAAGAGGGGTGCTGGAGATTAGACAAAGGATTACTCAACTAGCTTTCCAAGGATCTCAAATCCCTTCTTCTTCTGATATTGTTTTGATTTTATAATCAGTTTATCCCTTCAGTGACAAGATCGATCAGGTCTAAATCATAATGAGAGCGGCTAGCTCACCTTTAGATTCAAATGCAGTGGCTGTTTTCTTCTCATCAATTATACCTTTGCCTAATACTTCTGCATAGATCCTGTCTATGATGGAGATTCTGCTGGAATCTTTGACCTAAGTCTGTTTATCCATGGCTTACTTCTTTGTAACCTCTAGCAATCTCTGAACGTGCCTTCTTGTTCATAAGGCGACTTGTCGGCCTCGCGAGTCCTCTATCGTTACTAGCCATGCTTTTTAAGTCACTATAAGTATTTTATTTATATATGCCTTACTTCTGAAGGGGTTTTGGGGTTTTGGGGTTTTGGGGTTTTGGGG